TTTGCGGCGATGAAGATAACCGGGACTGGAAGCGAAGGTCAAAGGGACGACGGGCAGGGCTTGGGCTGACTCGCGGAGATCCGCGGAGCGCGAGAGGACTGCTACTCAGGGAGGACGGAACAGAACCCTGTAATCAATCAGCTAGTTATCCAGGTAATGCGCCAATTTTACCACTAACATGTAGCGATGGGGAATCGTCGGGGTTTGACCCTGTTCCATCCATGCTCCCTGTCGCGGTGTAGTCCACGTGTCGCGGCGGAGGAGTTTCTGGGAAATTGAAATCATTCTGTCCCGCTGTCTTCCCGGAATCGTGGTCATCCGCATCGTCTATCGTGTCCAATTCCTCTTCCGCTGGTTCCTGCGGGGAATGGAACGTTCGATCGAGGGCGCCATGGTCGGGTCGTCGGGGATCGTCTTCCTGACCTAGGTCTAGCTCGTCTTCGCGCGACCACCCCTCACTGCCCTCAGCCATCGAGCTCATGAGCGAGATCGCCGGATGACCATTGCTCCCGTCCTGTAGCTTGGGGGAGACGAGGCTGAATCAGCGAGGGCGTGTTGCGGGAGGACGATTGTTAATTGATTGGGAGGCTTGGAGAATAGGAGGAGAATTAAGAGGTAGTACAATATAGACCGAAGGCGTGGAGTTGTTAAGCTTGAGGGGTACCTAGGTATGAACACAGTGGAGAATGTGAGTTCAGAGCTCCGTTGGGTCGGGGCCGTTTTAGGGGCGGAACACCAGCCACAAGTGGCTACCAGGTACATCCACAAACGCATATCGATGTCTATCAAGTTCTTTACACTGAAAGTCCATTCTGTCCGAATACTCCATTTGGATCCCGGGTCTGTGTTAAGGGGACATACACTTCCTGGATTCCTCTTTGAAACACGTTGTTGGTCCTAGGCATATCTCTCCGTTGGTCTGTTCAATACCTCTATCTATAATCTACAGCTGCTCGAGACCTACCTAGGTACTGTCTTTCTCCTTTTGCTTCTACCTGTCAGTCCACTTCAGAGGGTCAAACGCCGTACCCATCAGCACTATTGGCATATAATACTTTCCAACGGGCACATTGAAACCAAATTCGATAGGTCAATTGATCAATGTTATATCAATTCTTCGTACACAGAGGCAATTTCCAGCACTGATACCAAATTACACATTCAAGCAAGCTTTAACTCATTTTCCTCAACCGTAAAAATACTACCACTCGCGCGGGCCCCCTTTCCATTCGTCTGCTGAATATAGATCCTGGTGGTTCGCTCATCGTCTCCAATTACAATATAGTAAGTGTTTCTTTTGTCGCCAATGATTTGCACGGTGCGCCCACGATTAAACTACGGGTTTTTAGTTACATAACAAAACCCGAGAAATCAAAGCTTTGTGGCATACCCCCATGTTGGACAATTGCTGCTTTCTTTTTTTATAGCAAAGGTGACAGTAAGATGGGCAGTATGGCTGATAGGATGCTTGATATCACAGCCTGTGGCTTTCGTGAACGGTGGTCGACAAAGGGTGGGCCTGGGCATTGCTGGCACTTTATACCTAGAGCCCGCGGAGACTGAGGTATAGCCAGAACATTCATTGCCTACCGCGCCGTTTTAGTATACACACATGCCAAGATGCAGTCAGCCGCAATGAAGAGCTGTACTTAAGTGCAATCAATAATCATGGATGTTATAGGTAACTGTGAGACACTAATAATACAACGCTGCGAGTCACTAAGTGGTTCCTGTGCTTCATAAAGACTCTCATCCTCCCCCTCTAAATCACTGGAAGCTGACGGACAATGCTGTCCTTTTTCTTCATGACGTACAGCGTATCATTCCCAGGCGCAGCTGCAGAGAATAGATGATTCCGCATCTCTCGTCCAGACAGTCGAACCAGCCCCGGGGCCTCAGGGACCATAGATTGAATCCAATTTCCCTTTGTTTTCCTGTGGATTTCCTCCATTGTTTTTGTTCTTTACGTTGTATCGTTTGATTTTTTTGATTCTTTTTTCGATCGTGCCGCTTGGCCTGTTTGTTGTCTTTTTGTTGTCTTCTTGTAGTTTTCGAATGTTGATGTTGGTGATGTTCAAATGATTATCCGACTGCATTGCATGGGCTGCCATGCCCATTTTCTCCTCCAGGGTCCGTTTATTCCCAGTGGTGGCATGGGTTGCCATACCTGTTCTCTTCTTCGGGGCCCTTTCGACGGGCAATGACAGCGAGCTACCTAAACCATGGCGTAATTGCTTCTCCTTGGGAGTTCATGATTTGAACCTCGAGTACCATATGAACACGATCAACGACTCCACCAGCAGGGTAGACAGGCCTTATTCCGAGTGTGCCAGTATATGTTTGCGGATTGTACTGTAACTGCGCTAAATCCGTGGCGAGGATAGTCTGTATGTCACTGCCGGTATCGTTCGCAATACGCCGAGAGATGAAAAGTTCCGCGTTGCCTCCATAAGCAGTAATAAGTCTGAACCTCGCAAAAATCTAAATCGCATTAGTAAATCAGGTAACGTACTAAGGTTGCTATGTTAAATATGCCTATAGCACACCTCATACATTGAAGTCCCAGCAAGGAAACCAAACGAGCCATACTGGGCCATCTGCGATGACCGGCTAAAACAGAGCTTAGTCGTAGGCAACCACACTATATCACTGTATAGAAGTAGTTGCCTGGGGAGAACTTTGCTGCATCATCTGCACCGAAATTCCCTAGATGAATGGTAAGAGATTTTCTAAATATAATGAAGATGGAGACTAACCTCAGCCCATATAACGGGTTTGCTAGAAGGAAGGTTCTCACTGTGGAGCAGATCATCTATAATCTTTCTATCGCAGATGTAGATTGTATGACAGGGGGTAACCGGCCCTAGTTCTCCACTTTCATGCATCTGTATGAGTGCCAAGATGGTGTCTTTTTGGCGTTGATTTTCGGGTTCTTTGATCGTTCCTTGAGCCATTCGACACGTTCATGGGGCTGGATAACCACGGGAATCGGGCAGGCAGGGAGGAACTCCTCCGGCTGGGCCATTTTGAAAACTAACTTGGAGGAGATTGGGTTAGAGGTCAGATTCGAGGGCGAGACAATCTAAGGTGTGTGAATTATGATAAATAAGGGCTTCTCACCTGGTCCGGGTAACGGCAGATTAAAATAACACTGTCTGAAAGCAAACAATTCGGATCAAGGCTACCGGAGTCGAGGAACTCGAGGACACGGGCACGGTCCGCGCGACAAAGAAAGAAATGGAAAAGACTGTAAGTTTAAACGGTCTGCTTTTGCCAAATGCTTGAGATTGTAGAAAAGCGCAAGCAGGTGGAGGCGCGGGGGGAGGAATAGCCCGAGCGAGATGAGAAGGAAGAGGTGAGGTGGGTTGGGCCGTGTGACTGCAGTGACCTTCCCTCTTCAAATACAGAAAGTTGCTCTTATCCCTTGTCCTCAAGATACCGCTTCTCCATCTCACGTCAACCTTTCAACCATGGATATCCAACGCCAATTTCTTGGTGTCCACTGGATCTGGGGCGGAGGCATCTGTTTTGGTTACGAGGTTACCCTCGCATCGTGGTCAAAGTCCCCAAGTCCGGGGAATTCGAGAGGGAACAATTCCAAAAAGAGCTCGAGATATATCAGTATTCTCGCAAAATCAGCCTTATCCCTCTATTATGCAGTGTTTTCTCTTTTCTAGTAGCGGCATCTTCCTTGAGTACATAAGAGGTGCGACCCCTATTAGTAGTTAAAAAGGTTGTCTACTAATTTGGGTTCATAGATATATCACTTTCTTCTAGGATATAGAAAAATCATACTCGGGACTAGCAAACTTTAGTAGTTACTGGAGTGGAGGAGTTTGAACCTCTACCCCTACGAAAAGAATGGACGAGCGATCTCGATTAAGCCGTCGCTTTCTTAGAATCTATCAACCTCGCTTATAGTGATTTACGACCTGAAAATATGCTACTTGATCGTAACCGACTAAAGCTATCCGACTTTAATTATACGGCGAAAATTAGTATAAATTACGAAGCTTATATTGCTCCGTATAGCCGAATACTTAATAATAACGAGTTAGACTAAGGGGAATATAGAACTTTTAGCTTTCTTAGCCCTCGAACGGAATAGTTTCGCCCTCGGTTCCTTATACTATTTGATAAACTACGGCTTTAAAGTTTATAGAGAGAGCTATCTTACCGAGGATCCTTACGAATATAGTCCTAACGTCGTGGACTTACTAAGAATATAGAGTTTCCGGAATTGAATGCCAATCCCCTAATTGGCAATATCGTCGACAAATGTTGGCATAACAAATATGCCACGGTTTTAGAATTAGCCGCGCACACAACACTTTTAAACGAAAGGACCGATGCGATGGAAAGTAACGAAAACAGAAGGAACGAAAGTAGCGACGTGGCCACCCTCGTCAAGACAATACTCAACGAACCATGGCGTATGGTCATGAGTCATATAATTCATGTGATATGTTATGGCCTTAAGAGTGTGGAAGTCGTTATTACAGAGTGTCAACACGGGGCAACGACCGCCGGGCGAGCCAGTGGCGACAATCGTGATGATGCGGATCAAAACTGTATGGAAGAGGAATTTCTTTCGGGGAAAGAATTTTGTCAGGACCTAGAGGAACGTGGACTTCTTCGCGCGCTTTCTTCAGGCGAGCCTGAGCAAATTGGATTCACTTTCGATTGGTATAGGCACAGTCTCTGGGGTTGAATGAATACAAACTTCATAGAAATCTTTGCGGGTAATGACAGGAAAGCTATATATGCTAAAGTACTCTTGCTCTTCTACCGATGCGTGTCTTGAACTGCGTCGAAGCAAATATTATATATATTGGTGATCAGCCTTTTCCTCCCAAGTAAATCAACTGTCCATCATGCTATCTTTTGATATCAAAGGATTGGAACAAATGGTGGTACAGGTACATGGGGCAGAGGGGAAATGGGTAGCTCGCAGGCACGTACATATTAATCGAAAACCGAAAAATAACAAGTCATTCGAACTAGATCTTGGCTTGTGTCAAGGCTGTACTAGGAGTTGAAGCCCACTGAAAGAGAAGATCGTTCGATAGACACTCCATCGCCGCCCGTTCCAAAACCCATCTCAATCTCCAGCATGGATATGGCGATGCAGAATCAGACGGAAGGTTAGGTATTATACTGCAATAGCCAGGTTGTGCAATGAAAGGGAAGTCGAACAACCGAAGGTCTCCGAGTGGCCCAAAGTCCTCATAAGGCGATGCTGACTTGATATCAGATACAAGGAAATTCACCACCCCCCACCCGGGTCGGAACGAACTCCAATCATGTCTGTGGGATATTGTTGCGATTGTTCCCTCCGCATACTGCTTGTCCAGGCGTCCGGATGCTTCCTGAAGAGACTGGGCAACATTACAGACCCGCCAGATATCCTCTGGCCCTACCGGCCCGAGAGACTCTGGCGCATGAATATTCTGTAAGATTTCAGGCGGAGGATGCGTAGAGCCATCACACTTGCTTTGGGTGGCTGCGATAGTATTTCCGAAATATCCCCGACGTAAATTGAGTACCTTTCGAAGATTTTCGGCGATGCACATGTCGGACGAGAGTTCCGGCTCATTGGGGAAAGCCCTCAAGCGGGCGCGATTGCTACATATGCCCAGCAGCGCACTGACGAGCAGACCCGGTCGAAGAGACATCTCGGGAAGATCCTTCCTATATTTCTCAGGAACAGACTGTAAAGCCGAATTGCAGGCGTCGAGCAGCAATTTTATCTTTTGGCCATCGAATATATGAGGAGAATTGATAGGTACTCGACTAGAATCTGGGGCCTCGCTTGTTGGGGTAGGAATGGTCGTCCATTGAAGATCGCGCGGTGTGGCTGTAGATGCGACTTCCTCGAGATGCTGTCTTGTTTCTTCTTGCGCCTGTGGAGTGGTGGATGGTCCCGGGGCATTTATATCACGGCAGAATGCGGCGAAAGCACGGAGTAAAACGAAGATCCCTGACCCGTCCATTACTCGGTGATCGAAGCACAAGACCAGATGCAAGTCGTCTCCTATCACATTAGCTTTCCACCGTAGCACAGGAGAAGGGTTACGTGGTGGGCAGACGACTGGAAACGGCATCAAGGCAGGGTTGAATTTCCCATCCATGGTGAGAGCGGTAGATTCTGAATGATGTTGAGTGATTACCATAGGGCACTCTTCAAACTCGGCAGCAGTGGCAGGCCGCACCTGAAGTGTGCTGTTATTGCCATCTCGCTCGGTAGATGATGCTACCATCCCAGTCAAGAAGGGAAACTTGGAGGCCACACGGGTTATTGCATCCTCCATTCGCTGAAGGGCCTGCGCACGATTCTTGCCAATCAAACTAAATTCGAGAGAGAAACTGAGATTTAATGGAGGCGCAAAATGGTCTAAGGGAGTAAGGTTATATGGTTTGAACATGTTTACGGGATTTGAATCTCTGGCAGGTTGGGTTCTTTGACTTATAAGTCGACTCCGCTGTTGAATGGCAGAGCTCTGCATAGAGATAATGTAAATAGAACGAGTAGAGTGGAGGAAGCGATGCATGATCAGTTCCTGTATACTTGAATCGTCTCTTAAATAGATTTCGAAGACTCGAAGTTGGACTGTGCATTTGAAAAAAAAATTGAGGAATGCTCTCTACTCCGTACTACACTTCTTATGCAGGATATTTGCAAGTGAAATGATAGTCCACTTTTTGTGTCACTCCAAGGTCGATGAATAGGATGTTATTTATCGAGGCATTGAGGTTATAGCCACTGATCTTTAGCATTGACACCGAATAGCTTTTTGAAGATATGCGCTTGGTTTCTGATTCTGTGCTGGTGCGTTTTAGCTTTCCTATATAGACAAGAGGCATCTGCATGATGATATAACTTGCACTACAATTAAGCTTAATAGTACTCCATACGGAGTACAGTACTACATGAAGATAATTCCTTATATTGTGTGACACCAGTTCGATCGAGGATTCCCAACAAGCATCATTAATGCAGTGACACAATGTGAAGGGCCCAAAAAGCCACATGGCATAAGACCATGTACTTTGAAAGGCACAGAACTTGATTGGGCTTGCCATTGAACATTTAAATCTTTAGCGTCTGACGTAGCCTTGTAGCCTCGAATCCCGACCTCGGCAAGCAACCAATGTGTACCTTTCCATGAAACGCAGGAGTGAAAATAAAGACGAGAAAAGGGAAAGACTCAATAAAATTAAAGGTGTCCTAAATAAATTAAGTAACCCTGAATGTGACGGACGGGGCAGGCGTACCTCTACTTCTAGACATAATGTAGGATATTTGCTCATCGCAACACCATATAACCGCCGATCACTGGCCTATGTGAATGACTATTAACCTCAATCTTATCCTCATATGTATGTCTAGGTTGCATTGATTATTCGACGAGCCTAATCTCGTTCAACTAACGATCATCCATATTCATGACTGTAACTGACTCAGAGTAGTACATCACAACGTGCATGGGTTGGAACCTGCACAAGATTAATCCTTTTCATGGTGGCCTGCGGCGGCAATAAAGTCTGTCGCACTAGAAAATACCCGATCATTCATGTTCACTTCCGGCAAAAGCTTTTCGGCCCTACCGAATCGTCTGAACCCTTACCTGCACAGGGGGCCAGCACTAGCGAGATCTCATGCAACACCAAAACCCCCCATCTCATATTACTTGCCTAAATAGAGCAGTGTTCCTAAGATCAAATTATCTGAGGCACACCCCCGAAGGATCGGGATGACTATCGATGGGGCCTGCTATTGGTGCGTGGCTGCGGTCACGAGACTGGATATTCATGATCATCCATGGATGTTATATCACTGGGGGTATATCTCACAAGCGCTATAACTTAGAGTCGACGTGGTTATGGTCAGTTTCAGTTTCCTTTGCTTTGGAGTTCCCATTTGGTCATGAATCGACATGGAGAATGTATGTAGGAATCGGCATGGACATATCACCCTCGTGGGGGCAGCTGATGTTACTATCGCGGGGCAGCTGTTACTCCTACGTGACCGAGGACAGCAGCTATCTATCACGATATTTGCGAGGGTAAAAAGAAAAAAAGACCTTGGAGTATAAAAGGCGAAAGAGCGCCCCTTTGCGCCTTCTCGATCAGAACGAAGTATATCCGAAAACGTCCGAGAACACGATGGCCAAACTCAACCAGCGACTAGTACGTGCAATGCTGAGTGCTCCCCTACTTCTCCAGCCTACGCTGGCAGTCTCAGGGACAGGAACACTAGTACAGCAAGCATCTCAGTCCTCGATATATATATCTTCGACCACTCCATCAATGTCAACGCTAGCCGCGACAACATGCAATGGCCGCCCAGAGTACTGCACCCGGTCCTACTCAAATATTACATTCATAGGCTCCCACGACTCGGCCTTTGTCGGGCCCTTACCGCAGCAGAACCAAAACATCGATATAAAAGCCCAGCTCGACATGGGAATCCGGTACCTGCAAGTACAAACACACCGCTCCGTCCTTGATGAGAATGTCATAGAGCTGTGCCATACATCATGCTTGCTCGAAGACGCAGGACCTCTAAAGTCGTACTTGGAGACTATCAAAAGCTGGTTAGATGCAAACCCGAACGAAGTCGTCACTCTTCTTTTAACAAACGGAGACTCGGTATCAATCACCGAGTTTGGAGACACTTTCTCCAGCAGCGGGATTTCTAACTATGCCTACGTTCCCTCTGCGAATCCGCTATCAATTTCAGACTGGCCCACACTGGGTGATATGATCTCCAGCGGAAAGAGGTTGGTCGTGTTCCTGGGTAGAAAGCACCAGTCATAAAGAGACATGATATGCTTGAGACTAACGATTTCCAGACTACGGCGCGGACACTGCAAAAGTGAACTTCATCCAAGACGAGTTTGCCTACCACTTCGAAACAGCCTACGGCGTCACAGACGCCTCTTTCCCGAACTGCAGCATCGACCGGCCCTCTGGTGCCGCCGCTACAGGCCGTATGGGCATTGTCAACCACTTCCTTGATGTGGATGTTTTTGGCATAAAGATTCCAGCTCGCCACAAGGCAGACACTACTAATGCTGCGACGGGGCATGGTAGTATTGGGGCTCAGGCGGCGCTATGCGCCGGGCTGTATGGGCGTGCGCCCAATGTGGTGCTGGCGGACTTTGTGGATAAAGGGGATGTCATTACGGCGCAGAAGAATTTGAATGGGTTGTAGATCGGGTATTAAAGTCAGGTCGTGCCATAACCCATAGATATACGTATGTAATGGATGATTCTGGCACTCGAAGCATTTCCCCTTCCGCTCTAGTGCTCACCTACGATGGCTTTGGCATATGTACATTGATTGTAGGCAAAGTCTAGTAATACATTGTCTTCTGAGAAACCCTCACTCATAGTGAACCTTGTTGACTGAAGTTCCAATCTTTTCAATTTCCACTCTCATGTCATCACCATCATTCAAAACAACCTTAGGGTTGCGCATGACACCAATGCCAGGACCCGTTCCAGTCATGATAATAGTGCCTCTTTCCAGAGTAGTCCCTTGTGATAGGAATGCGATTGTCTTTGCAATATCGAAAATCATTTCCCTTCAGTATGATTAGTTATTTGGAAGCACGCCGAGGCCGCGCTAGTCGGCCATTTGGATAGAACTCACCTGGCGTTTGAATCATGTATCACTGTGTCATTGTGAATTACTTTGATTCGAAGATTATGCGGGTTCCCGATGGTAGAGGGAGATACAAGAACCGGGCCTACCGGACAGGATCCGTCAAGACCTGGTTCATGGTATCAAAAATCAGGCCGAAGTTCAGAACTTGTTGGTCGGCCGAGAATAGAAGCATCTGCCCTTTCTTACCTTGGGAGAAGCATCATTGGCTATTTTTAAATTGCTGCGTCCGAGTCCCAGAACATTCCATTGCCTCCGAATCGGGGATATCTCGGCCTGACTTGGACAGAATGATTGAAAGCTCTGCTTCGTAGTCACCGGAGCCGTCCTGTGCGATCTTCGGTACGTTGATATCGGCCGGGTAGGGTCCGTTGAGTGCCGTGTGGGGTTTGATGAAGAGGACCGGCTCTGGGATTGGCATGTTCGCTTCTTTAGCATGATCGCGGTAGTTGAGCCCCATGCACCGGACGATAGGGACTTCCTCGATTCCAATGGGGGCCAAAAGCTATTTTCAGGAGCAACAGTTAATTGAAATACCAGGAACCGGAGGTTAAAGACCCGGGGCGCATACTCGTGCAATGTGCACAGTGGTCTCGGTTACAGCGCCCTCGAAGATTGATCCCTTGATCAGTCTAACTGCAATTCTTTCGCCATTCAAAACCGATAGTCCAATGTCCGGATACTTCCTCGTATCAACTTCGCCAAGCTGAATCTGTCCACCTTCCTCGCTTATGAACCTGACAAGATTCGTCCAATTGAGAGACATTCTACGAAAGGGGTTTGGTTCGAGACAAGGTGATGAATGGAAATCAGATTAGAACAGTATAATGCAAAGATGGGAATTTTTAGCGGAAAGCGTCATTGCCTTGTAATCCGAGATAGAGCCAAAAGGAGACAGACTGTTATAACATCTCCACAACTGGCTATGGGACAACTTCGGTCTATTTCCCCCGGAGAATTGACCACAAATACAGATGATTTATATTATAGCTCGAATTCATTTGTTTTGTAAAAGGTAAATTGAAACGTTGAGAGAGAGAAAAGGATTAGAAGGATTCGAAGAGGACGAGAGCCTTTGTTGAGGTCTCCCTTGTACAGTTACTACCAGAGCCCCGTTAATTTGAAGGACGTCTTATTCTTGTCACTACTGAGACAATGCCTGGACTTCCGAACTACGTTCAATTCATAGTTTAGACTACCAACGTAAGAATACATAAGAAAACCATTATCCATTCTGTTGAAATTCAAGAAAAATAGGTTGCACCCGCACATTACATGCAACAGAGTATCAAAGATCAGATATCGAAAGATTCGGGTGAGACGGGCGAAAGATTCCCTTAGATATCGAGGAACCGGGGACAATGTACATATTGCAATGTGTACTCCCAACAAGCCAATCCTTGTCAAGCCCCAAGCACAACTCACCTAATCAAGCTCAGACTCTTCATCAGGGTGAACCGAACCAGGCTCGGCATAGTGAGCGTACAGGTAAGCCATCAAGTCATCAGGGTCATCATCGCGCAGGGCACTCATGAAACAATGAGTGTTGCGGACTACATCAGAGACGTTGGCGTAGATAAGGGCGACTGCACAATCGCACATGCGCTTGTACCACAGGTACAAATTGTGACCAGGAGGCAGTGGCTGAAGACTTGCAGTCACAACAGGCCACACCGAGTGCTGGCGGAAAAGTAGGTACATGCCGGCCAACCAGGGATCCCAGTTCTCGTTGCCAACCAGAGCGGGGAATTCGAAGGGGATGAAGTGCTTGTCGTGCGAGTTGTTCATGAAGAACTTCACATGCTTCACGGTCCTGGCTTGCTCGGCTAGGTTTTCGGGCCTGGCTTGCCTGTTTGCGTTTTCGACCAGTGAAGGCACTGTGGAGATATCATCGTCGCTGTCCCGGTCGCCGTGGAAGACGAAGTGGCCCAGGTCGGCGGCGGAAAATGTGGTCGAGACGGGGTTGCTTGGTCGCTGGATCCTTGGATTGGCCTCGGGGATGTCCTCCATCTTTACCTTGGGAGGGGACGACTCTGTAATCGTGTTAGAGGGGAGAAAGATCCATTCCCAACGTCCGTTTTGAGAAGAAAAGGTGGGACTGTTGGCGGATTTGGGACCAGGGTTGGGATAAGGATACAGCGTGATGTCGTCCTCAGTACAGGGAAATTGGTTTAGGCAAAGACTGAGATCATCGGAAAACTCACTCTTTGTGTTCTTGGCATCTCCGTTGGTCGTACCATTGGCAGGGGCAGCGGAAGACTCTGTAGTCTTGTTGTTAGAGGCAAGATAATACCAGTCCCAGCGTCCATTTCGGGAGACAAAGATAGGGTAGCCAGTGAGATCAGCAGTGGGAGCGTGGCATAGGGTAAGATCATCCTTGGTACATGGGAATGGGGATGAGATCGGGCCTGGGACAGGACTGAAGTCAAGACTATACTCACTCTCGTTCTCATCATTGGCGACAGAAACGGGAGCGGGAGAAGGTGTCTCAGCTTTGATCTCTGCGCCAAAGTCATAGAGGTTAGAAACAATCTCTTGTGTAGTGCCATCGAGGAAATCCCGTTGAAGGTCTGCAAGCTGATTCCAGTACTCACTTGGGGTATGAGTTCCGGCAGAGGGCTCCAATTTGGGGATTCCTGGCCCGGGGCTGCAGTTAGCTCTGTCTCGGATGGTCGATGGTGTACCTTTTTGCTTCTTTCTGATGGGTGAGGATGATGGACGAGGGGACAGAGTATGGGACATACGCTTCTTGCCGCCCTTACGGGAAGAAGGTTTGGGAGGCATGATGGTTGTTGATGGGTGGAAAAGGCGATTGATGAAACTGAGATATGGCAGTGAAGATCAAATCTGGGGGAGAAGGAGGAAAAGAGCGGATGCGTTTGAGAGGGAATTCGTTTGCTGCGCAGGAAAACGTTTGTTGGCAACTAGGAACTTCTTATATTCGCAGTCGCTAATTCTTTCATGAGATAGAGTAGCACATATTGCACAAAGCACATAAGAAAAAAGAAAGGTCTTTACATTTGTGATGATTCCATTGTTCATGTATAGGAAGTTGGACACAGTGTAGAGACTGTGAGAAATATTTATGAAAACATCCTGAAACAAACCATCTGAGACATGACAGGCAGAAAACCCCCGTTTACAGCAAAGACCTAAAACTGAGGATCATAATCCACAACAGGAATTGTAGTGTCATCCAAACTAACAGAGCCCGGGGTGTCAATTCCAGCGTACTTATTGAGCCATCCCAAGACCTGTTGATGCCAGACCAGACTGTTTTCCTTGTTGATGACCCTATTTCAATGCCATTTGTTAGATTTATTAACTCTCCGGTGATATATCCCGATCCAAAGGCTCTATTGTACTTACCAATGGTTTTCATCAGGGAAACTGAGCAGCCGGCTTGGAACACCTCGCTCTTGCAAGACATTGAAAAGCGCCAGACCCTCAGAGATGGGAAGTCGATAATCCAAGTCACTGTGGATAATGAGCTGCGGAGTAGCGAACTGTTTAATGTGCTCTGGAGCCGAGGGATCCCACCGACGATAGTTGTCTCGGTTGTCCCAGAACGTGCCGTTGAACTTTGGAAGAGTTAGTATACAACCAGAGAAAATGCCACGAACAAGGCACATACCTCATGCTCCATGAACCACAGTTCCTCGGTTGAGACCTTTGCGTCGGCCACAAATGTGCCATCGTGGCTGGCCAACGCCTTGAACTCGCGGCCTAGAGGATTACCCTGGATCCAGTTGATCATGAAGCCACCGTAGCTGGCACCAGCTGCCACGCCGCGATCGGTATCAATGAAGTCGAAGTTGTCCCGTACATACTCCCAACATTTGACCAAGTCGTCGTAAGGGTAGCTTCCTGTTAATCATCAGACAGTTGGAATGGGAATGAGTGAAGGGAATGACATACCCCAATTGTTCGCGATCTCGTCTGTGAGCTTATCACCAAATCCAGTGCTTCCAGTTGGATTAGGTGCGACAACCACATATCCTTGGTCAGCGAAGACCTTATAGTTCCACCGAGTGCTCCAGGAGTCACCCCAGGAACCTTGAGGGCCGCCGTGAATATAGAATAGGAGCGGGTATGACTTTGATTTGTCGAAGTCAGAAGGGTAAACGATCCATGAATGAATCTATAACGTTAATATCTCTTCAGTTCCAGGAGAAAGAGTAAACTTACATCTGTCCAGTTGCCCTTATAGTAGAACTCATCAGCGTGTGATGGACCAAGATTCTTCAGAGCAGGGTCAACTTCGTTGGCAGAGAAAATAACACCTGTGATACCTTCGCCAGGCTTCGTGGTGTAAACTGTGCGACTAGTATGGATAGCGGAACCAGAAACCAAGTAGTCTCCACTAGGCAGGCCGTAGTAAGCAGCCACGGAGCCACCGTCGGTAAAGTTCTTAGGCTTGAAATCATTACTAGCATCGGCGGGCAGCAAGAAGAGTCGAGAGCGCGCAGAATCCTCGGTGTTCAGCACCAGGTTCTTCCCGTCAGCAGTCCACTTGATTGCGCTAGGTGACCGGTCCCAGTTCTTGGCCAACGTACGAATAGAATCCTTGGAGTCAATGGTGTAGACGTAGACAGTGCGACGGTCCGACTCGTAGGAGATATCTTCCATTTGGAGATATGCGAGTTGACGGCCATCTGGGGAAAAGACAGGACTGCTCGAATCGCCCTTGATGTCTTTCGGTGTGCCCGGACTGTCAGGGCCATTGATAGCCACGGCATTCTTGGATCCATCATGGGGCACAAGATAAATATACGAAGCAGTGTGGTTTGCTCGTGGCAGTTCAGGCGCCTTGCTCTTGAATGCAACCAATTTTCCGTTGGCGGAGATGTCATAGTCAGACGAATCGCCGAATGGTGGATAAGGTGACTCGAGGTTCTTGACTCCTGCGACGAGGTTTTTGAGAGATCCAGTAGAGCTGTAGGCCGATGTCGCTCCAGGTCCGGCTCTCTTCTTCTTCAGAGTCCCGGAGAAGATAGCATTGAATCTTGTCGTGAGCCAGGTATCCCAGTGGCGGACGTAGATACTATCGTGGATGCGTGCCGAGCTTAGGGGTGTGGCAACAAGCTCTTTATTGTACGCCGTTCCATTGGGCCAGGACTCTCCATACACCAAGAAGTTGATGTCTCCAGACCTGGTGATGGCGGTCTTGAGGCCAGAAAGTGGCGCCGGGAGTGAAGCCGCCTTGTAGGCACTGCGCAGATGTTAGGAATGTTTCATCCATATAAATATGGATATAAACTCACGAGTTGACGAAATCAGAGGTATCTGACACCCAAATTTCGGTACCCCCAGGAATCTCGGCGTTCGTCCCGTTGATATACAACAGACCCGAGTCAGTAGACCCCAACCAAGCCAATTCGGAGACATTGCTGTCATTGGTAAGTTGAGTCACTTTCCCAGTCTCCAGATCCAGCAAGCTCCACCATGATGATGTAACATGGGTCTCGAAGGAGTATTCGGAAGTGGAAAAGAGCGCGACTTCCTATGTCAGGTCAATAACATTGTCGATATCTGTATACAACTGTGCAACTCACCCCTGATGGATTAGGAATAGCCTCACCCCGTCTCGGAGCCGCGATAAGCTGTCTATAAAGAAAATCAGTAACCAATGAATAAGCAAAATGAATTAATCAATTGGGAAGATCAGCACTGACTCGGGAGTAAGAGCTGCTGCAGAAACGATGATCGACCCGAGGGCCGTCGTCAATTGAAACACGCGCATATCGGCAATCAAGTACGCACCCACGCAGGTCAAGAGAAACGTGCAGAGAACCAGACGAGCTGCACTCCGGACCGTCGCTGAAATATAAGAGCTGGGACCCCACACACGCAGTAAGCTAGTGGCCATAGTGGAGAGGGCACTTTGCCGTCGAAGGGGGGCATGTTACATTCCTCGGTGCCAAGAGAGATATGCATGATGTTATTTCGTGCTGTCGGCCATTTCCAAGGCGCTAGCAAGACGTGCTGCGGACAAAGAAAGGCGGAGGCAGGTCAACATAGGGCCCGAGCAGGGTCCGGCTGCTTGGCTTGCAGCGCCAAGCACCCCGGAGTCCGGAGATATTCCGCTGATAGCCGGGATTATGGAATAAAGTCACGATATTGGGTGCCGATCAACAGGGGCTTTGTATTAGAAAGGGATGGTCATATTAAAAGTAAGCGAACGCATTGATGCCTACTGGTTATCATTGCCGTGGGATCGTATAGCTGTCTAAGGGAGGCTAGAAGTGGCAAGTGGCACTATGGTAAGCACTAATGATGCACCCAATCTGGGCAATGGTGCCATTCTGGAAAATGCGTACGACTGGGAGAGGCCGTAATATCGATATCCCAATGAATTCAATTACATTCGCTATAGTGCGCCCGACAAGATCGCTTCAATACTCAAAGTCATCATCCACACCTCCCTTGCCAGAAGTCTCCTTCGTGACTGCTTCTTGTTTCCGATACATCTCCGCCACAGCACGGGTGGTAGTAGCCTCGTCTGGTTTCTTATCGTCGCGGGATTTGATATACCGTGGGAAACGCAAAGACACACCCTTTCCACCGCCGGTTGTTCCTTGGAACTCATCAGCAGCGGCTTGGTAGCGTGGGCTGAGGGTCAAATCGGCTGTTTTGACTTCCCACACTAGTCTTGGCTCAAACCAAACATCCGGTTGATCCTTGGGAACGGTCGAGTGAGTGTAGAATGGCTTTGGACGGTCAATCACCAGAGGGACTAGCGTCTGGTGTAGCTCTTCAAGTAGCACCTCAGAGAAGCCAGTGCCGATGTTACATATGGTCTCATATGTGTCGCTGTTGGGGTTGTAGGCAGCGAGAAGGAAGGCACCATAAACCGAAGTACGCTTTCCACGACCATAGTAGGCCCCAAGTACGACAAGATCAAGAGAGTCACCAACACCGGCGAGGTAATCTTTTTTGACCTGTACAAAAGTTAGCAACGGTTGAACTTATCAACGAAGAGGCTACATACCTTCAGCCAATTGCGACTCCGCATACTTGGCTCGTAGCCACTCTCTGCGGTGTCCAGCATCTTCACCATAAGACCCTCACAAGAAGCTTTGACACTAGCCTCGAGCAATTCTTGGATCTCATCGAGGACATTAGAGTTGCCATATTGGGCAAACTGGAACTCCCCCTCAACCGGTTGGAAGCATTTGTGCATTAGCTCTCGCCGTTCCCGTAGAGATTTCTTCACGCAGGGCTGTTGAAAAGTTAGCAAGAACAACTAGGTATGGCTCAGAGCGACTTGGTGTGCCTGTTTTCTCTCTCAGTATCCTCGCCATAAATGGGAAGAACGCCTAATCACGAGAAATGAGAAGAGAAGAAGAGGGATCCAGCAAATCGCTTATATAGACACCAAAGAGACAAATGGTCTTACCTCTCCATTGAAGAAAAGCAGGTCAAAGGCGTACACGCAGACCTTGACCTTGACATCTTCCGCTTTGACATCCTTGCGCTTGCGAGTCATCAGTTGTTGGAATGGAAGAACCTTCTTGGCCTCCGTATCCCATGCGACAGTCTCACAATCAAGAACAAAGCTCTTAACGTCGGCTTTGACCCACGTGTCAAGTTTGCCTAGAACATCGGGATACTTCTTCGAAAGATCTTCCGAGTTGCGGGAGAAGATTGAGGAGAGTCCCTTGCTGTCCTTCTGTAATGTGTCCAAGGCTCCAGGATATTGGTGGATAGAATCCGGAGACACAAAATGGATCTGGGCTCTTTCTCCGTCGTACTTATATTCACATGTGAATTCCTTCCCTTCG